TTTCTTAAATAAAATAAAAAAGAATCAAAGAATTATATGCATATTATGTGCATATTATCAGACTATAGTGCAACAAAAGTAGAAATAAATGACAAAAGAAAACACAGAAATTATGCAGACACACGGAGATTAAATACAACATTCTTGAATAATCAATGAACCACAGAAGAAATTAGTTCCTAGAATCAAACAATTATGCCAGTATAACATATGAGAACCTATGGGACACAATGAAAGCTGTCCTTTGAGGAAATTTGTAGCTGTGAATGCCCACATCAGGAAAAAATGAAAAAGAGCAAGCTCAAATAAATAATAATGCACCTCAAGGTTCCAGAAAAACAAGTACAATTCAAAAACAAACATAGTACAAGGAAGAAAATTATAATGATCAAAGAAGAAATTAATGAAATTGAGGGTAAAAAAACCCCTAAAACAAACAAGCCAAAAACCACCCCCCAAAAACAAAAAACAAACCAAACAACCACAAAACCTATGAATTGAAGAGCTTCTTCTTTAAAGGAGTAAACAAAATAACAATACCTTAGCCAGTCTTACCAAAAAAGAAACAACCCAAACTAAGGCAATTACAAATTAAGGGCAAAAATCACAATGAACATACTAAAATCTAGAAGATAATTTGTAACTACTTCGAAAACCTGTACTTTAATAAACTGAAAAATCCAGAAGAAATGGATAGATTCCTAGATGTATATGAATTACCAAAAATGAACCAAGCAGATATAAAAACCCTGAAAAATCCAGCAATGAACAATAAAACCGAAGCAGTAATAAAAAACCTACCAACTAAGAAAAGCTTGGGACTTGATGGAATCATCACTGAATTCTGTAAGAACTTCAGGAAAGATCTAATGCTAATATTCTTCAAACTCTTTAATGAAATTGAAAGGGAGGAGTAATGCCAAAATAATAGTTGGAGGCTATCCTTACCTTGATTCCAAAACCAGACAGGGACTCCACTAAAAAAAGAAAATTGGCCGGGCGAGGTGGCGCATGCCTGTAATCCCAGAACTTGGGAGGCTGAGGCAGGAGGATTGCTGTGAGTTCGAGACCAACCTGGAATACACAGTGAGTTCCAGGGCAGTTTGAACTACATCGTGTTTAAAAAAAAAAACAAAACAAAAGCAACAACAACAACAACAAAAAAGAAAATTGCAGGAAAATCTCTTTACTGAATATAGGTACAAAGATCTTCAACATGACACCGGCAAACAGAACAGAACAGATCATCAAAAAGATCATACACCACGACCAAGTAGGCTCTATCCTAGGGATGCAAGGATGTTTCAACATATACAAATTAATAAATGTAATATATCATATAACTAGAAGGACAAACTCATGAGATAATCTCAATAGACACAGAAAAAGCTTTTGACAAAATCTACCATCTGTTCATGATAAAAATCCTGAAGAAAACAGATACAGAAGGACCTTATCTCAATTGGATAAAAGCCATTTATGACAAACCTATACCCAATATTGTATTAAATAGAGAAAAGCTGAAAGCTTCCCCTCTAAAATCAGAAATAAGACAAGGGTGTTCAACATTGAACAACTGCTATTCAATAGAGTACTCAAAACTTTAGCCAGAGCAATCAGGCAAGAGAAATGAAAGTAATATATAAGGAATGGAAGAAATCAAACTACCCTTCTGTAAATGGCATGATCCTTTACGTAGAAGACCCAAAAAATTCCACCAAAAAACTTCTAGAATAACCAAATTCAGCAATGTAGCAGGATACAAAATCAACCCACAAAATTCGATGGCATTTCTGTACACCAATAACAAACCCACTGAGAAAGAAATTAGGAAAACAGGGCTGGGGATTTAGCTCAATGGTTCTGTGCTAGACTTGCAAGTGCAATGTCTGGAATTTGATCCCCAGTAAGGGGCCGGGGCGGGGGTGTGAGGAGAACAATATTATTCAAAGTAGCATCAAGAAAAATTAAATACTTAGGAATTAACCTAATCAAGAAAATGAACAATTTCTACAACTAAAACTATAATATTCTGAAAAAAGGAGACTGAAGAGGACAGGAGAAAAATGGAAAGATATCCCCTCTTCCTGGATAGACAGAACCAATACTGCCAAAATGGCCATATTGCCAAAACTGCTGTGCAGATTTAATTCAATCCAAATCAAAATTCCAGCAGCATTCCTCACAGAAAGAGAAAACAACCCTAAATTTCATACAGAATCAGAAGAGAGCCAGCAATTCTGGGCAACAAGAATAAAACATCATTATCCCAGACTTGAAGTTATGCTACAAAGCTACAGTGATTAAAACATCATGGTACTGGCACAAAGACAGACGTAGTAGAAGAGAGTATATAGAAGTGACACCAGGCACACTCAGTCATCTTATCTTTGACAAAGGGGCTAAAAACAAGCTGGAGGAAAGACAGCCCCTTCAACAAACGGTGCTGGGAAAACTGGCTATATACATGCAGAAGACTAAATTAAAAAAAGTTATCTCTCACTGTGTATAAAAATAAAATCTAAATGGATTAATGATCTAAATATTAACCTAAGGGGGTAGAGGGCAGGGACAAGGTGAAAAAATGAGAACCAAGACCACTGTCATGTAAAGGTACAACATCCCAATAATGAATGTAACTGTACTGTATACCTAAAATGTACCAATAAACTCAATAAAAGAAAAAAAAATTAATCTGCTGGAAGATAAAATAGGCAAAACTCTGGAAGTCATAAGCTTAAATGAGGATGTTCTGAACAGAATGCCAATTGCACAATAATACTGTATCAAGAATCAACCAAAAAAAGAATCAACAAACAGGATCATATCAAATGAAAAAGCTTCTGCACACCAAAGGAAACAACCAACACAGTGAAGAGACAACCTACAGAATGGGAAAAAGTTTTTGCCTGCTACAATTCAGACAGAGGGACTAATTTATATCTAATTCTGTATCTATCTAATCTATATCTAATTCTATATCTAGACTATAAAAAGAACTCAAGAAAATTAGACCCCTCAAAACAAAAGACCAAATCAAAAAACAGGGAACTGAAATGAACAGACACTTCTTAGAAGTGGCACAAATGGCCAATCAATACATGAAAAAATGTTCAATATCCTTGACCATTAAAGAAATGCTAGTTACAACAGCACTGAATTTCTACCTTATTCTAAACAGAAGGTTATTATCAAGAGATCAAATAATAACAAATGCTACCAAGACTGCAGGGAAAAAGAAACTCTTCTACATTGTTAGTAGGAATGTAAACTAGTATAATTACTATGGAGATCACTATGGAGAATGGAGATTCCTCAAAAAACTAAAACTAGAAATTCCATTTGATCCTGCTATTCCCCTTCTTGGTATCTTCCTGAACAGTTAAGATACCATATTACAGTGATACATGCATGCCCATGTTTATAGCAACACAACTCACAATGGCTACATTTTGGAAGCAGCCCACATGTCCATCAACAGATGAATGGATAAAGAAAATGTGGTATTTATACACAAGAGAATACTACTCTGCCATAAAGAAGGATAAACTGAGTCATTTGTAGAAAAATGGATACACCTTGAGACCATAATGTTAAGTGGAATAAATCAGACACACAATCTTAAATATTGCATGGTTTCTCTTATATGAGAAAATTAAAGAACAAAGTAGGAGACAGATGTTTTTGGTACTACCTGAATATGTTACTCCTTAAATTACTATCTCCTCAGACATAGTCATACAGTTTTGGATACAATACAAAATTCTCTTTATGGTGGTTTTCAAATACAAAAACAACTACTAAAACTATGAATGACTGTAAACTAAGCATACTCAAGGAGACACTGCCCCCTTGTGCCAATCAATAATAATTAAACAAACAGAAAGAACTAATAGCTAATTCCAATACTACAAACATGCAGACTCTTAAAAAAACACCTTGATCAGTTTGTAGTGTGGCTCAGTGAGAGTCTTGATTTATTACTAAAGCCTTGGGTTCCATTCCAAGCATACATACATACACAGACCTTGATTTTTCTGAGTTCTCTGTTGTTGATTTTAGTCTTTGTTTTCTGCTTTTATTTATTTATTTTTTTTGAGACAGGATTTTACTATATTGTCTGGACTGGTCTCAAACTGCTGGACTACCATGATCCTCTGGATTTGGCCACCTACATAGACTTGAGATATATACCACCACACCTGGCATTCTGGGTTTTGATTTTAATAGCTCATATTTACAATGGTAATCTTTAATGGTGATCTTGAACCAGTTCCTTAAGCTCATATAACATGACTAATTTATGACATTCAATAGCCAAGTATCAATATGATACCTAAAACTATCATTTTTATAGGCTGAGTTCAGACAGTAGTTTTCTGATCTTTAAATTCTACAACGAAATACAAAAAACTGCTCTATATTTTAGAGAAAAATAGATGACACGGGAATAGAATAGAATATGGTGACATGTTAAAATGCATATATATTTCAAGGTTTTAGGTATTTTCTTCTAAAATCTTGGAAAACTTTTTTTTTGGGATCTGATATATGGTTTACTTACCCCTTATAAAGCTTACTGGCATTACTAAACTGTAGTATGGACAAAAGTATTAGAGCAAATAGAACTGCTAAAGAAAAGAATACATTGGGCCGGGGATTTAGCTCAATGGTTCAGTGGCCTGCCTTGCAAGCACAAGGACCCGAGTTCAATCCCCGGTACCAAAAAAAAAAAGAAAAGAATACATTAATGTAAAAAAAACCCCCATGATATAGATAAAAAAATAAGTGAAGTAAAACACTCAATAACATAGCATCTTTCCTAATTATGGGTGGAATAGTTTCAATTCCATTTCTATTGAGTAGGGTCATTAGGAAAATTAAATGAATTATCACAAATAAAACAATTATTATAATAAGCCATAAAATATTTGTTACATAAGTAAATGAATTCATAAGTATAGAAACTACACAGTACTCATATACTCAATAATGCCTACTTTCGAAGGTGATCATGTTCTTTCAAAAATAGTTCAGTTCTCCTGTTGTTCACTCCAGACCCACTTTTATATGACCTAAAAAAAACATAAAGAAAATTTAAGAACATTTTTGGAAGATAATTCAAAATTAGATGAAGTGTCTGATCCTAGTCATAACAAAAGTAGATGCACATTGGGCCAGGGATTTAGCTCAGTGGCACTGTGCCTGCTTCACAAGTGCAAGGTCCTGAGTTTGATCCCTGGTACTGCCAAAAAAAAAGGAGATGCACTGACTTTCCTAACTTTTGAATGAATAAAGTGTAGAATGCTTTTCCATTTTGCTATAAAAATGCTATCATAAGTAGGAAAATATAAATGTTTCTGTAATTTTTTTCCTTGAGATAGGTCACTCATACTGTCCAGGCAAGTACTGCCTCAGCCTCCTGAATAGCTGGGATTGCAGGCATGTGCTATCATGCCTGGCTCCATTTTGTAAGAGACTTTTTTCATCAAAATAAACAATTTTTTTTTTGTTTTTTTTGGTACCGGGGATCGAACTAGGGTCCTTGTGCTTATGAGGCAGGCAGCGGAACCACTAAGCTAAATCCCCAGCCCCCAATATTCTCAAATAACAACAACAAAAAAATCTTGCTTTTCCTTTGTCTATTATCTTCTATACTTTAATTTTTCCAAGTGGAAATAAAACCTTGGACTGATTAGTACATCACACATGGAGTGAGGAAGCTATTGAAACAATGTTTTCTTTCATAAGACTATACGTCATCTAATAACTGAAGCCTAAGGAATATTAAAGTGTTCAAGAATTGCCAATTTTAGAACATTTAAGAATTTCTTAGTCTCTAGCACATTAAAATTTGTTTAAAAAGCCTTTTACATTACTGTCAACACTTTTGTTTCTGTTTTCTGTCAACATGAAGTATCAAGAACAGATTTTGAAAAATTCAGGAAACTGCACAAACACTGCAGTAACAAAAGAGACAGTCATGTCACTAAAATCCAACTATTGGCTGAGCAGTACTGGTACTATGCAGCACACAGGAGAAGACCACCACAAAAAGAATGAAATGACCATATTGGTCTTGGAAGAATGATGACTTGAAATTAAGTCTAAACCCTATCATTTAATAGCCAGGTAACCTTAGTTAAGTCTCTCAATACTAAGTTTTATAAAATAAGACTGACAAGAGATAATACATGGAAAAGTAATGTGTAAACTGCAAAAAACTGTAAAACTCTCATTCTCTTAATTATACTAATTTTCCTATTATACTAATCTGAGTATATACTTTTATCCCCTCTAGTCCCGAAATTATAAAGTCCTACAAGGCCAAACTGGTCTTTTCATTTCTGCCTTCTGTTGTGCCTGATACAATGTCTTACTTAGGAAACAGTTTAATGAATGTATGAACTTTTTTTGTTGTCATTTTTCAAAATAAGTAGTGGACTGCATTCTTATGACTCTCACAAACAGTACGGGAACCAAATGTCTAAACAGTAAATGTTGTCTTCTACTATTATTGTCACTATATTCTTCAAAATGTGTACAGAATTCAACTGTACAAAAATTAAAAAGACCTACATATATCATTAGGACAAACAATATTACAACTGTCTTACTATTAAAACTGTCATAACAGTCCAATAAAATAAAAGATCTCTAGGAAAATGTTTCTCAGAATATACATAACTTATATAATATGAGACCTAAGTCTCATAAGCTTGTCATAAATAAAACAATGACTCTAGATGATCCAAAATAGAAAAGTATTTAGCTTCATTTAGATGCCCATGTGACTCAATTTCATCGGGCAAGTTCAGTTGTGAAAAAAATTTCAAAAATATATAGAAAATGCTAGAACATACGCAGATGAGTAGAAGAGATGGAAGAAAAGACAAATCTTTAAATTTATGGATGAAACATTATAAAATGCTGGAAATATTTAAATAATGTGACATAATATGTTTGTATTATCTCTAAGAAAAAACACATATTTCAGAATTTCATGGAAAGAAAGGCTGCATAAATAGCTACCTGAACATATAACTGTGGAGAAAGGGAGAGATGCAGAAGATGAGTGGTCATCACAAAGGGAAATGTGCAGAGCTTCGGGTATTGCTAATGTTGTAATGCTCAAGAGTAGCAAGAGATCAGAGAAGAACTCATGAAGCTATCATCTAAGTTAGATTTTGAATTAAGACATCAAAGTCAGAAGTCAATAGTAAAACTAGGAGAAATAGGAGATGGGACTGGCAAAGTAGATTAGGACTATACAGCAGCAGCAATGTTTAAAGAACAGTAAAATGGGAATTAGAAACCCTGAAATCCAATCCTGATTTTGCTACTCAATTTGCAACTAATTACAGATATATTTTAAATCTGAATAAACATTCTATAAAGTAATAATATAAAAGGTAACTTACTCAATATCTTTTCGTACCGATCCCATCAGATTCTCCCTTTCTCGTATTGCCACAAAGTTTGCTTTGGTTTTATGGAACTCATGTGTATAATCCTACAATAAATCAACAGACAGTCTCAACATGAACTAATTATGTATTTTCATCTTACTGAACCAGTTGTGTATTCCTATCATATTGTAAATTTCAAAACACTACTCTTCCCTATTTTGATTCAAAACTTTTTATAAAAATTCTAAAATAAAAGGACTTCAAAATAGCCTAGGGCAGAGATGGTAAACCTTTTAGAGTTTTCAATGATAACAAATAGTCCATTGTGGCACGAGTTACATAGGTTTGCTAACGCTGGCCTATGGGAAACTTAGTAAGTTTATTCTACTTAATGTGTACCTATTGGGGCTATTATCATATTTCCTCCTCTTGGAGCTCCCAGAAATTTAATTCCTAAGCTAATCAAAGGAAGAAAAAAAATCAAGAGGATTGTAAGAAAAGAATAATCTGTAAATATTTTTCTTTGTTTTTGTACTACTGTATTTCTAAAAGACATTAACAATATTTACTTTTTTAATTCTGAAAAGTAGATAAAGATGAAAATAAAAATCTCATCCCCAAGAGAACCTATTAACGTTTTAAAAACAAATATTACATACAGACAGGAGAATATTAAAAGAGCACCCAAAGGATTAAAGGTAAACAAACAAAAATATATTTTATCCCACTACTCTTAACTATTATCATCACTTTTCCATGCTTCCTTTCAGGAAACATGCTTTTGCACACAAAAACTTACCTACTATTTCTTTCAATTTTTTGCTAAAGAAATCACAACACACATTCTGATGTACACTTTATTTTTATAGGTTATAAAATATTAATTGATCTATTCATATTGTCTAACAGTCTTATCTACAACGCTTTTTTTCCTTTATTTTTAGTGACTGAAAACAGGACGCTGAGCACAATAAGCAGGTGCTTTACTAATCTACATCATTCTTTTTAATAGCGGCACAGAATACTATCTTATGATTCTATAAATTCTAATTCCCTACTGATAAACATTTTAGTTGCTTCTGGTTGTTTGATATTACAAAATGCTGCCATAAACATTACTGTACTTTTTTTTTAGTGGCACTGGGGATTGAACTCAGGACCTATGCACTGAGCTATATCCTCAGCTCTCTCTCTCTCTCTCTTTGGTTCCGGGGATAGAACTGAGGACCTCATACTTGCCAGGCAGGCAATGTGCCACTGAGCTACATCCCTGGGCCCTCCTCAGCTCTCTTTTAATATTTTATTTTGAGACAGGGTCTTGCTAAGTTACCCAGGCTGGGCTTGAATTTGCCATCATCCTGCCTCAGCCTCCCAGAGTTCTGGGATTACAAGTGAATACCACCATGCTTGGCTTGTTAGATTTCTTTTAAAAAGGCACAATTAGGGATAGGGATTTAGCTCAGTGGTTCTGCCACCTGCCTCACAAGCACAATCTTGAGTTCAGTCCCCAGTACCAAAAAAACAGGCATAGAGCTGAGGATGTAGCTGTATGGTACAGACCGCTTGCCTAGCATGTGCAATGCTCTGGGTTCAATCCTAGCACTGTAAAAAAAACAAAATCAAAAAACAAAAACTCCACTAAAAGATGAATTTAAATAATAAATGTTGGGCGTAGTGGGGCATGCCTACAATTTCAGCTACTTAGGGGGCTGAAGTAGGAGAACCTCAAGCTTGAATGAAGCCTACGCCACTTAGGGAGTCTTAAAAGATTTTTTAAAGGGCTGAGGATATAGCTTGGCAGGAGAGCACTTGCTTAGCATGCACAAAGCCCTAGGTACAACCCCCAGTATTGCAAGGAAAAGAAAAAGTAAATGCCTAGCTGAAAAACTGGATCAAAGAATTACAGATATATTTAAATTCTGATGGAGCTAAACTGTCTTCTAGAAAGTTTACACTAACTTATGTACCTATGAACAGAGCTATGAGTGCCTGTTTTTCTACACTCTTGCCAATAAAGGGTTACAAAAATCTTGTAGGTAAAAAATGATAGGTAAAAATACCTCAATTTGATTTGTATTATTTTATTTGGGAGTATGACTGAGCATCTTTTTATGGTTTCGGCCACTTCCTACTTCCTTTGCTGGGGAGTAAACCCAGGGCCTCATACACATTAGACAAGTGCTATACCCCTGAGCCATACGCCTAGTCCTCTGCCATTCTTTATTATTATTTTTTTTTGGTACCTGGATTGCACTTGGGACCCTGCACTTGAGAGGCAGTGGCAGCACCATTGAGCTAAGTCCTTGGCCCCTGCCATTCATTTTTAAAGTAAATTTATATTCTTTGCCCATTTTTCTATTAATTTGCCTTTTTCTTATATAATCCTATTATTTCTCTGTATTTTAAGCAAATTCGTCATCATTAGGTCTTATTTAGAAAGCTCTTTACTGTTGAAAAACATAAATTTCAACTATGCTTTATTGTGAACCTTCCTCCTCCTCCTCCCTTTATCTTATACTGATTTAAAATATCTCTTTATCAGAAACTCAATTTCTACACATATTTGGGTTTGTATATGAACTGTATTCAGAGTACTGGGATTGAACTTGGATTCTTGAGCTTGCAAGGCAGGTGACAACACCACTGAGCTAAATCCCTGGCCCTCTTCCATTATATAATTAATTTTATAGTTTGTTTGTGTTTTTTCCAAACAGAGTCTCACTAATGTAGTTTAGACTGACCTGAAACTCACTATGTAGCCCAGAATGGTCTTGAACTCACAGCGATCCTCCTGCCTCAGCCCTCCATTATATTTTTAATAGGATACTGTTTGTACATAGGAAAACTTTTTTATTTTTGGTGGCACTGGGGATTAAATTCAGGGCTTTTGCACAGAGCTACATTCCCAGTTTTTTTGGGTTTTTTTTTTTTTTTTGGTACTGGAAATCGAATTTGGGACCTTGCCCCTTGAAAGGTAGGCAGTGGCACCATCGAGCTAAATTCCCATCCGACTGCAGCTCTTTCTTAAAATTTGAAAAAAGGTCTCCCTAAGGTGCTAAGTTGTAAGTTGCCCAAGTTAGACTCAAACTTGTGATTTTCCTGCCTCAAATAACTTCTGGCTTTTATTTTTTAATTGTTTTTATTTTGGAATTGACTATAGTGACTTTAATTGGTTCTGATGTTTTTCAATTAATTTTTTTTTTTTTTTTGTACCAGGGATGGAACTCAGGACCTTGCACTTGTGAGGCAGGCAGAGAAATCACTGAGCTAAATCCCCGGCCTTTTCAATTAATTTTCTTGGGTGTACCAGACATATACTCTTATCCTGTCACATAACAGAAACTCTGCATCTTCTTTTCCAATACTTATCTTGTTTTGGGGTTTTTTTGGTACTGGGGATTGAACCTAGGACCTTGTGCTTTCCAGGAAGGCAAGGCGCCACTAAGGTAGATACCCATCCCCACTTATCTTCATTTTTAAAAAAAATGTTTCTTACTGTACCACCTAATTGTTAGACACGTGTGGCCATCATGGGTAACCTCCTTGTCTGATTTCTACCTTCAACGATAATGTTTTTAATGTGAGTTTTTAATCTGATATTCATATCTGTGCAGCCAATAAAGTATCTTTTTATCCACCTCCATACTGAACCAGTTTCACGCATGCTAAGCACATGCTCTACTACTGAGCTACACTCCCAGCCCTATTCCTGCTTTTAAAATCAGAATACATTTTTTTTTTAATATGAAAAATATTTGCCTTCCAATTTGTACTTTTTGGTTTTTTGAGACAAGGTCTGGCTTTGCAGTTTAGGCTGACCTTGACTCGAACTCACTATGTAGCCCAGGCTGGCCTCCAACACAGAGATCCTCCTACCTCTGCCTCCTGAGTGCTGGGATTACAGGTGTGCACCACCACACCCAGCTGTAGTATTATATTTTTAATGCCCCCTCATATAAATCTTTAAATTTTTTTTATTTTATTGATACTTTATTCTTTTTTTCACACAATATTCTATAGTAAATTATTCCATGTTACCTTGAAAGTCTGATGAAAGTGCAATCTAAAGCACCATAGTACTGCTTATGCACTATTATTTTGTTACAGCTTGCCAGCTAGCTCTCCCAGAGCACAAGTATATTTACCTAGTGATAAATACTCAACCTCTAGAAAAAAAAACAAGAATTACAAGATATTTTAATTTTCAGAATTTCATAATACTGACAAAAAAAAAAAAAAGAACGCAAGAAATTTCTATAGCATAGCATTTATCTCCTCAGAAGAGTTCTTTCTCTCTTTTCTGTAGTACTGAGGATTGAATCCCAGGGCCTCAGATAAGCTAGGCAAGTACTCTACCAGTGAACTACATCCTCAGCCCTTTTTAATTTTTATTTTGAGACAGTGTGGCTAAGTTGCACAGCTGGGCTTGAACTTGAGATCCTCTTATTTCAGCCTCCTCTCAGCAGCTAGGACTACAGGTGTATGCCAACATGCCCAGCTTCACTTTATTCTTTTAAATAAATATCTTACTTAGGGATTAAGAAAATAAAACCCTGAGATAATGTAAAGTCTCAAACTCAATATATTACCTGCAAAATGTCTCTGTGTCGCTGTAAAGTATGCATCAATGCTGCATTCAAAGAGGGGACACCTGCACTGTTGGTATATTCTGCCATTTTGTCATTTACCCCTGTAAGCTAGGAAAAAAGGAAAAAATATTTTAGAAAACATTATAAATGACTAAAAGCAAGTATACATCCTTTTGGCTGCCAGTGAAACAAAACTAAACAAAAGAAAATCCAAGATAGTAAAGTCTAGGTATAAGTAATGTTAATAAGTGGCAGTGACAGTTTAACCATGGTTGGGGGGACTCACATCTAAATGTATGCTAATCTGGTGAAACTGGGTGGGGTTCCTAAATGGCCTCAGGATGGTGCTGGTCACCAGAGAGGTTGAGAGCTGAGAAGGTTGTAACTTCCAGCTCCAACCACCAACCTCCAAGGGAAAGGAGGTTGAAGACTGAGCTCTGTAAACTCTTGGCCAAGGAAACTAGAAAGGCCTCAAGGTTTGAGAACATAGAAGAGTGACACACTGGGAGAAGTATGGAAGCTCTCTTCACCTTACCCTGTGTATCTTTTCCATCAGGTTGTTTCTGAGTTACAGCCTTTATAATAAAGAAGTAAAGATTAAAAAAGAGAAGAAAAGCCAAGATAGCAGGCAATGATTTAGCAGCGCCCTCAAGTAATCCATCAAGGTTAAAATAACACCCACATGACCTGAGGATGTTTATCATCAAAATTCAAGAAGCCCGAAGAGGAAGACATTTTGAATGACTGGATGATTTCAGTCAACATGTCTGCATTTATATAATACTGGGCCATATCTAACAAGTTCACAGTTATTAGCAATTTAACAGAAAGCACTTACCCTTGCCAAAAGCTGTTCAATCTCAATTGCCATTGTCTCAAACATTCTGTCTTGGCTCGATCCATTTAAAAGGGGTGTTGTGTCAGAACTAAGAAGTTCAATGAAAAGGAATCCATCACTCAACTCTGATCCTTTAAAATATACTTAAAGGTGCCGAGGATTTAGCTCAGTGGTTCTGCTGCCTGCCTTGCAAGCGCAAAGACCCCAGTTTGATCCCCGGTACCAAAACAAAACAAAACACCTTAAAACAACAAAGTAATTATCCTATAGGTAAAGTAAACCCCTGAAACAGTCTATTTCTTTTGAAATTGATTTTTTTATAGTTTTCCAATAGAGTCACTATAAAATATAATTGAATGTATGATTTCCCCAAACTTTTATATATTCAATCTTAACAATGTAAAAAAATTCCAAATGCCTGTTTACATTTACTCAAATGACTGAAAGTAAATTTAAACTATGGCAGTGTCCAATTAAACTGAATTTAAAAGAATAAATTATGTGAAACAAAACTGCAGAATTGTAGAACTCCTTACAAGAGAAACCATAAATATCAATTATGGATTATATTACAGAGCCTGTGAGAAAGCTTTTAAAGTTTTTATCCTTTAAAATTATGGTTCCTGGGCTGATGATTTAGCTCGGTGGCACTGTGTCTGCCTCGCAAGTGCAAGGTCCTGAGTTCGATTCCTGGTACCAAAAAAAAAAAAATTATAGTTCCTTAGGCCTTAAATTTGCTCTTCTTTCCTTGACCATCATCAAGAAATAAAGTTTAGGGGTCAGGGATTTAGCTCAGTGGTTCCACCGTCTGCCACGCAAGCTCAAGGACCTGAGTTCAATCTCTGGTACCAAAAAAAAAAAAAAAAAAAATTTAAATGACAGATTAGATAACTAGTTATTGAATAATAAGGAACTTACTTGCAGTCTAAAATACATAGCCATGTCCAGTTTATTTTTGCACTAACTTTAAATTTCCACTTATACAACCATCTCATTTTCTTTGACAAAAATGTATTAAGCTATTTTTATATTGGTATAGTAAAAATCTAACTTTTTACATCTGTGCAAATCATGTCCTAAAAGTTTCTTTTGCCTCTTTTTGAAAAACCCTTCATAAGTTCCCCACATCTGCATTATCATAAGTGACAGAGATAATCTGGGCACAGATAAATGCCTAGGCAATGACTATCTCTCTAGTCTTATTGAAGACTTTGTTCTGCCCTGTAACAGCGCTTGGGTGTGGCAAATGAAACAAAAATAATCATCAGTTCAACATCAGCGTGCCTTTAGTTACCACTATTTTCCCTTGTACGTTTTCTCAGATAGCAATAATAAGCAGTGAAACAGCCAAAATATATCTAATAAATATTTTTATTTTAAGATGTTTAACTAGGTCTACGCTTTATTTCTTCTCAAAACTTTCCCATTTATCTGTCCTAAAATATGACATCAAAATATTTAGCTCTTGCTGGGGTTTAACTCAGAGGTTCTGCCTCCTGCCTTCAAGCGCAAGGACCTAAATTTGATCCCTGGTACAAAAAAACTCCAAAATATTCAGTTCTTTATTAAGTGTCAGAGCCAAGCCAAGGTTCAGGGGTCATCTTTTAGAATATGCCCATGCAGAAGTGCTCTGTATATTATAGATTCTTCCTTGCCAGATAAATAAAAAAGAACAACAGGCCAACAGAATGCATTCATTCATTTTACTTGGAGACAGGATTTCACCATGTAGTCCAGGCTAGCCTCAAACTTGTGGCAATCCTCTGGCTTCAGCCTCTTGAGTGGCTGGTATATTACAAGCAAGCATGTGCCACCACACCCAGCTTAACAAAATGTAATTTTGAGACAGGAAGCTGTCTTTGTCTTATTGATAGATACATGCTACCACCTGGCACATGGTGAATGCTCATTAAATATTCATTGAATAAATGAATAATAAGGTAATCTCTATTATTGCTTGCTCCATATTCATCAACTCAGTATATGAGTCTGGGGACATAACCAAAAACTCATTCTCTAAATACAGTGGTACCTTGGTTCATGAACTTAATTCTTTCCACAATTCTGGTCACAAGCTGAATTGGATGAGAATCAAATCAAATTCACTGGTTACGTTTAATGTTGACCTTATGGGGAAATTTGATTCAGTTCTCATCCAATTTGGCTATATAAGGATTCAGAAATGTTCTGGCCATTGCTGAGTTTATTCATTGTGACATGCTTCCAACCTGTACACTAAACCAAACACATTGGATCTTCATAAACTTAGGTTTTTTTTTTTTTTTTTTTAAAAGGACAATTAGGTGGTGGATGTAATTCTACAAAGTCAATCCCAGTTTGTAGTACAATTTCTTAGGGAATTTTTCAAAACAGCTTTTTCTTTTGAAAGAGTTCACAAAAGTATTAAGATCATAAAGAACAGGTAACAGTAAATTATCATGTAAAAGTATCTCTTAAAAATTGGGAGATTTAAATTCAAGAAAAAAGATCTACAATCGGATTTTTTTTGGGGGGGTAGCAAGGCTTGAACTCAGGACCTTGTCAGAAATTAATTTTTCTCAAACTCAAAAAACAAAAAAACCCACTTTTTCATTACTTGCTAAATTAAGGTGAGCACAAAGCGCTGCACTGAAATAAAATCTATGTTACATGCCAAGAACTTAGTTTTAGGTCCCAAAGTCAATATACCGGCCCTGGTATCATTGCGACCTATGTGCCCTTCTTAAAAAAGAACAACACCCTGGCGTGTGGAAATGAGTCTTTTGTTGGAACGTGCACGGTATAGTAGGTTTCAGAGTATGGGTACGGATATGTGAAGACAAAGGTTCAGATTTAAGCTCAATTTTTGTTTTATTATCAACTGAAAAATATCATACCCAACACTATCTTTGAAAAAGCACTAAAAATACAAGTGGGCTAACAACCAAAAGTCTACTACCAATTTCACTGCTGGGGTATACAGGAAGAGCTTGTGTAAAAATATTCCCAGAATACTGGGTACAAATGGCACACTCTGTAATCCTAGCTACTTAGGATGCTAAGGTCAAGGTCTACCTATGTAACTCAGCGAAAGCCTGTCTCAAAACAAAATCTTAAAAAGGCTGAGAATGTGGTCTGGTGGTGGAGCATTTGTCTAGCATTTAATCCTCAGTACCATGGCAATATAAATAAAAAAATAAAATTTTCCAGCAGGAAATTTTTTTTTTTTGGTAACTGGGATTGAACTCAGGACCTTGTACTTGCAAAGAAAGCAGTGGAATCACTGAGCTAAATCCCCAGCCCAGGAAAATTTATATAAAGTTCTCAGAATAGTGCCTGAAATATGAAAAATGTTTTGTTTAACTACTAAAATTATTAATTAGCAAATATCAAAAACAAATGCCAAAAAAAAAAAGGGGGCTGGGGATTTAGCTCAGCGGTTTGGTGGCCGGCCTTGCAAGCGCAAAGACCCAAGTTCAATTCCCGGTACCAAAAAAAAAAAAAAAAAACGAAAAAAACAATGCCTAACCCTTGAATAGTTAAACCATGATATATTTGTACAATACTATAAAAGGATATACCAGTGATAAATACACAGTTGAGCCTCAACGATAATATCAAACAAAAAATCAAGTTGCAAAACAACTATTTAGGATACTGTTAATTGCCTAGGGATACATATATAGTAAAAATATATGATGATATACATAAAAGGGAGGGAAAAAATGGATGTTATCAGGGATTTCCACTGAATTGATAATGATTGTTTCTTAAAACTGAAAATAGGCATATGGGGTCTACTATATTAGTCTTTATACCTCTCCAAATGTCTTAAATATCCCCTAATATTTTTTGAAACAAGTGAACATATACCTAAGATTTAAAGATAAAAATGTATTTCTCACAGGTTCAATATATTAGTTTCAATGTAATAATATATTATATATAATATAATAATATTCTGATTAGTTCAACATGACATAAAAATAGCTTCTAAGACTAATGGCAGGGATACACACTACTTTAGATTCATTTGAGAAGAATAAACAACAGAAAATTAGTAGGTATATTTTGCATTTGGGTAGTTCAGATCCATTTAGCAATTAAGAAAACAAAAAAATATAATTTGCACAATTCGGGCATATTTCTTTATACTGGCTAAGCTAAAAACTACAAATTCATTCTTAAGGTCTAGCAGTTTTCCCCTGAGGTAATAACAATCTTTGTCTAAGGATCCTAACCAAATGAGTCTCAAGAACCATGAAGAATGTCAGTCACTAAAAACATATGCCAAGCATCGGCAAAGAAAATAAAACATTGGGCTGGGGATTTTGCTCAGTGGTTCTACCACCTGCCTTGCAAGTACAAGGACCCAAGTTTGAACCCCAGTACCAGGGGAAAAAAAAAAAGAAAGAAAAAAAGAAAAAAATTCACTAATAGACTAAGTTACAATGTTATGAATTTTAGTTTTTGGGTTTTTATTAAAGATAGGGTCTTGCTGTGTGGTTCAGACAAGCCTTGAACTCTGTTATGTAGCCTAGGCTGGCCTCAAACTTGCAGTGATGCTCCTTCCTCAGCCTCGCTAGTGCTCTGATTACAGGTGCATACCATCATGCACAGCTTAATTTTTAAAAATGCTTGTAAGATATTACATAATTTAAGGCATTAAGAGACAGAATCTGGTAGTACCTATACCTGTCGCGTCTTCCATCTCGGGTGCTGCCATGACTGTAACTTGTACATAGTTTACTGAAGGAAACCAGTTTCAGGTCAAGTTCATTTTCCAACTGTCGGGCCTGTTTCCTTAGATCTTTAACAACATTACAAAAGTATAATTAGTTTATCAATAGACATGTAAATCACAGTACTATTCTGAACAAAGTAAACTATAAAAATGATCATATATTGGTCTTTGACTTACTTACTCCCCCCATAAAGAAGTGTTAAAAAAAGGAAACCTAGTACTTAACCCAAGAATGTAAATTAGTTACTTAAACTTCAGATGGAGCAAGAAGGGAAGTAACAGTGGAGATGCAAAATTTTAGCTTTATTCCTAAGATAGCTAGACAATAAATGTTATTCTAACATCTCTGAAATTATTTTCAGAAACCTAACTAAAATTATGTAATTCAGAGGAAAATATGAATATAAATCACTAATTAAATGAATAGGGTTTATGACCAATTTCATATCAATTTTACCAGCTAACTTTATAAGGAAGAAGTCATCACTATTTTTGCAAGGATTTTGCTTTTTATGTTCCAAAGCTTTATTAGGCTAATGAGATCCTTTTCATAACAGTAAAATGATTTAGCAAGTGAGCATAAAGAAAAAAAATATAATTAACAAATTAAAAATTGCATTTTCATAAATATACTCAAAAATCTGGAGGTGATGGAACTAACACTTTGCTAACAAGGTCAAATATGATTATGATAGATAAAGCATAAGACTGAAAAGCACACAAGTTTAAATGTAAATAGGCAGAAAAACTGGTATAAAGTTTGGTACCTAAGAGGATGATGACAGAAGCCACATCTGGAAACTCACACATATATCTGATTAGACTTACATATGACGAAGATGAAGTTAAAATAAAAGGACTGAACTACAGAGAAAGGAATAATATATAAGAGTGTCTCAGGAGTGAGGAATACAAAACAACATTTCAATATACTTTGCAATCAGAAGTAAGAAACAAAGTAACATAGTGGAGTATTATTTGCCCAGAGACCAAATCTCAGCTCAGTTTCTTACAGGCTTTGACATTTATTAAAAAAATCTATGAATTTCAGTCTTTTTTTTTAACTTCTATCTTCAGGGGTTTTCTATGCATTAGTAATCACATGCTCAAATCATTTGGCATAGAATATGTTGTCAATAATGTGCTGCTTTAATTATTAAAGCATGGTACTTTAAATAGCCTACTGAATAGTATTAAAGATACCAGTAACCACTTCTACATAATTAAAAAGTGTTTTCTACCTAGTACACATATTTCAAATTGACATTTTAATACGTGTTTTAAAACTATAATCACACTTGTCTGTAATTTTAGTAATTTTCATTTCTAGTAGAAAACATCAAGGAGAGCATTTTAAAAATAAAACAGACAGGCATGAATGAACTTAACATTCAGATTGTTAGACCAAGTGGTTTACTGTAACAAAGTGTGGTTTCTAGAAGTTTCAGTGGGTAGCAAGAGGAAATAGTCAAAAGGGTGAAAGGATATATTTTTATGTTGCGGAAAAGTAAATAGTTAAAATAAAAAGGTGAGCTTTCTCTCATTTTGTTGTTCATCGTGATTCAGGAATGAGTTTTACAAGACCTTAATTGTCTGGACCATATTTTCAGGAATCAATGCACTTGTCAAACTGCAAGAAACTTTTCTGGTAGAAGTATAGTAAATGCAATAATGACAACGGATACAGGTTCTTTCAACTTTAACTTTCTCTTTTTCAAAAACGATCCTAGGGGCGTAGGATTTAGCTCAGTGGCACCGCGTCTGTCTGGCAAGCGCAAGGTCCCGAGTTCGATCCCCGGTACAAAAAAAGAAAAAAAAAAAAAAAGATGAAAAACGATCCTACCTCCGAGGCAGTGGGTAAAGTTATTTTCTGTCTTCACCACCTAATTCTCAGTCACGGCCTCAAGCTGCCATGGGGGTCTCAGGAGGAAACATTCGCTCCTACTTCCTCTAACAGACAGGACCGACAAGTTCCTCCTTTCTCTTTTCCCAGTTTCCGAACAGTGATCTCAACCCGAAGGCAGACTCAACTCCAGTCTCCGGATTCTGGAAGTTCTCGCTCAACACTTATCTCTTCTCAGTGCTTAATGGCTCGATATCCAAGATCCACTGCCCTTCACTCATTTCCACTCCGGTGACTCAGGCCCCTCTTCCTCTCCAACCCGTGTCCACTGTCCAACCCCTGCTGCTGGTTCGGATCTCACGGCCCGGCCAGGCCAACCCCCTGTCCTAGACCGTTCGGTTTCCTCAGTCCCCGGGGCTTCCACTAAGCAAGTCCCACCCTTCAGTTAGGCCGCTCAGGAGGCCTGATTTTTTTTCTTCCGCTGCCTTCCCAAAGATCTAGGTTCACTCAATCCTTCACCCCGTCGCGAAACCCATTCGAAGGCGTCGCCCTTACCTTCCCAGTAATTGCTGGTTCCAGCCGCCATCTTTGTTGTCCAACGTCAGACGGAACAGAAGAGTAGAGCGGTGCGGGCCAGAGAGTCACCTCTGCGCCTTCTTCCGCCGTGAGCGCCAGGGAAGTTGGGATACGTGATCATCCACGGACACCACCACCTGGTGGTAAATCGGTGATTTTAACGCTTTTGAGTAACAAGACAAAAGTTTTAATTTCACCCCCTGACGCTCCTGGAAGGTCTGTTTTAAGATGTTCATATCCACTTTCTGCGCCACAAAGTTTCATTATCTGCTTCGTCTTCCTTCTCTCAACAGGTGTCTGAATGACTAAGAGTGATGCTCGGAACTCATTCGGTTTTCCTCTCTTTTTAAATGTGCGTTGTCAGCCTCATCCTCAGAAGGCAGTATCTCTTTCCTACATTCTTCTGTGCTCTGTCGTCCACCATCAATATATGCGCCCTCTCCACTGGCCGTTATTCCCGTGTCTACCGTAGGGCACCAGTTTTCTTTTCAACCACCATATCTACGAACTGTGTTCTAACAACCGCTTCTACATCTCTGTTTCTGACCCTCAACCTGTTACCATCTGCTGTCCATTACTCAGCAATCACAAGTGATCAGTCTAGTGGCGTTGAATTTCATCACTTCTAGTGAAGTTGTGGATACTTCCTGTGAAGTCATTCTCCCATTCTCATTTACAATTGTCTTTGCTATTTCCTTTATGTGCATGGAGAACCATATCAGACAATGCTACAAATTTTGCCCCAACTGTGAAACATAGGAATGCAAGAGGAAAGGAACACCTACCCTGTTTACTCATATTTTACACTTTCCCTTGTTCTTTCTTCCTTCCTATTGCAAGATTTTTTCTCTTATCATTTCCTTTGTTTCAAGAACTTCGTTTTTGTTTTTCTTTTTTTGTTTTTTTTTTAAGAGTAAATCAGCTGGTGGGAAATTCTCTGTTTCTTAATCTGAGAATGGTGATTTCTCCATACCTGGAGTCGACCAACCTCCAACCATCCCACCCCTGCTCAGTGATTGAATAATGCCAGTTCCTTCTGTGAGGAGAAATTAGCTGTCATTTCTCTCTCTCTTTCTCTCTGTCTCTCTCTCTCTCTGTCTCTCTCTCTCTCTCTTTTCTTGAGATGCCAGTTGTGAGGAGAAATTAGCTGTCATTTTTTCTTTTTCTTTCTCTCCCTTTCTTTCTTTCTTTTTTTCTTTCTTTCTTTCTTTCTTTCTTTCTTTCTTTCTTTCTTTCTTTCTTTCTTTCTTTCCTTCCTCCCTCCCTCCTTTCTTTCTTTCTTTCTTTCTTTCTTTCTTTCTTTCTTTCTTTCTTTCTTTCTTTCTTTCTTTCTTTCTTTCTTTCTTTCTTTCTTCTTTTTTTGGTACTAGGGATTGAACTTGGGTCCTTGTACTTGCGAGGCAGGTGGCAGCATCACTGAGCTAAATCCCCGGCCCTGTCATTTGTTTTTCTACTATACCTAAAATAACTTTTCTCTCTCAGTGCTTTCAAGAATTGTTCTCTTTAGCTTTTAGAAATTGATTATATCGCCGGGCATGTGGCGCACGCCTGTAATCCCAGTACTCAGGAGGCTGAGGCAGGAGGATCGCTGTGAGTTCGAGATCAACCTGGGCTACACAGTGAGTTCCAGGGCAGTCTGAACTGCATAGTGAGACCCTGTCTCAAAAAACAAAAACAGGCCGGGGATTTAGCTCAGCGGTTCGGTGGCCTGCCTTGCAAGCGCAAGGACCCGAGCTCAATCCCCGTTACCAAACCAAACCAAACCAAACAAAACCCCAAAAAACAAAAACAAAAACAAAAAACCCACAAAACAACAACAACAACAAAGCCAAAAAACAAAAACAAAATTTCTTTAGGGTTTTCCAGTTTGGTCTTTGCTCAGCTTGATTCTTACATTTATGTCTTTTGTTCAATTTGGGAAATTCTCAGCCACTATTTCTTCAAATATTTTTTTCTCACCCATACTTTTTCTTTTCTCTGGGACGTTGATGATATTACTCCTAGATCTTTTGATAAAGTCTTACAAATCCCGAGATTATGTTAATTTTTTCAATCTGTTTGTTCAATCATTGTTGAGTAATATCTGCTATTGTTTTCAAGTTCACTGACAAGTAAATGTTTTTCCTCTATCCCTTCCATTCTACTTTTGAGCTCATTTGATGAGTTTATATTATTACAACTATTATATTTTTCAGGGCTAAAATTTCCATTCAGTTCATTATATTTTGTTTTTCTGTGACCATACTTCCTTGCTGCCACTGTTTTAAATCATCTCTAAGTTTGTAATTTTTCATTATTAATGCTGCATTAAAAGCCTTGTCAGATAATTTCAACATCTATATCATTTTGATATTGGGGTCTGTTCATTATCTTTTTTTTTTAACCCAAGTTGAGATTTTTCTGGGTTCTTGGCATACTGAATGATTTTGTAATTATATAATGAATATTTCAGGCAAATTTTTGAGGCTCTAGATATTATTTAACTCTTCTGTATAAGCAGATTCCTCTGACACTATGCTAGTGGGAGAGGCTGGAAACTGCCTTGCTAATTCCAGATGGGAGTAAATGTCAATACCCCAGATGTGGTAAGTACCTTATTACTGTTCTCTTGTGGCCCCCAATGATACCACCACAGACTGTTACCACCAAGAAATGATGACAGTCCTGGCTCCCTACTTTGCTTTCTATGACATCACCAGCAGAGACAGACAGAGACACGGGTGGCGGGGAAGACATGTCCTTTATAACCACCTAAGAGTAGGAGTCTAAGCTTCCCACTGAGCCTCTGATGGCAAGGGGGTAGGGGAGTAGGGGAGTGACATTCATTTTTCTGGAGTAGTGGAGTTATCGCATAAGATATTGTCTTGCTTAGCTATTTATCGGTCCTTTATCTAGAGACAAAGCTTTCTTTTGGGCTTATTTGTATCCTTTGGCATTACTGGCATTCGAGCTTCTCCAGGACCTATTATAGGAGGCACAGTATGAGCTAAAGTAAAAACCAGTAAAAACTCACTTTCATGTCATTCTAGCTGGTCTGCCACCTCCTTTTCAGCTTTGAATCATTCATATATATATATGGAGAGAAAGAGAGAGAGAGAGAGAGAGAGAGAGAGAGAGAGAACGAGAGGGAGAGGTTTTGCTGTACTTGGCAGAATTGAAGTTGTCCAGAACTGAAATTCTCCATTTAAAATTTCAATAGATTTTTAACTCTGCTTTGTCTTCTAGCTTCTTTAATTTATTCATCACCATTATTTTAAACTGATTGATAGCTGAACTGTACCTCTCATGGGCCTTTTTCATTTTCCTTGGTCATTAGTTTTTTTGTTGTTGTTGTTGTTTTGGGGGTTTTTTTGGTACTGGGGATCAAACGGGACCTTGTGCCTTTGAGGCTTCTTTGATCATTATTTGATCTCACTTTTGCTGAAAGTAACTTTTGATTGGATGTTCTATATTATAGATAAAAACCTGTAATTTGTGGCTGTGGATAATATTATGCCTACCAGATAGAATTTACTGCTGCTTCTTGCTGTCATTTCAGGTGAGGCAGATTTCAGTGTAGTATCAGCTGGGAATGAATGTTTGCTAAAATTTATTTTTGGTTAGCCCTTTTTTTGTTGTTGTTTTTGTTTAGCCCTTACTTCTTTTTTTTAATTTTTTTTCTTTTTATTGAGGTTATTGGTACAATCTAGGTATACAATACAATTACATTCATCATTGGGATTCTGTACCTTTACATAATACGTCTTGATTCTCATTTTTCCCCTTGTCCCTGCCCTCCCTTCACCCCCTCCTCCCCTCCCCATTTACAAACACTTTATTTCCATTTTTTCAGTTTCTCATATATTTTTCCTCTCCCTTATT